AAACTCTCAACTACAAACCGTCGAACTAAAAACATCATGGTTTTTATTTTTGATTAAATACAAAGTTCTCAAATCGAAGTAAAAAGTAACAAACATTAAATGGTCCTTCGAACCCGATTACATCAGTTTTTCATCTAATTACATCGCTTCGTTACATAAAAATGCATAGTTCGTATTCGCATAGTTTTCGTTCGTATAGTTACATTCACATAGTTCTCGTTCGCGTGGTCGCATTCGCGTAGTTTTCATTTCTTACCCTATAACACGTCCAAGTCGGTTTCAATCTCAAACATTCACAATGGATCAGAAAGTACTCAAAAATAAAGGCAAACTTATTCTGAAAAAACGTGAGAAGATAACCGAAGACGTGGTTGCCAAGTATTCAGATGAGGAAGCTCAAATACAGTTGAACTTATTGGAGGATGCCTTCACTAAGTACAATGAGGCTTATGATGAAAAATCTGCAGAAGCCAACGATGAAGAAATTGACAAGTACATTGAAGATTTGGAAACTGTAAGTGACTACTACATTAAAGTAAAGAGCAAGCTAATTGGTCGGTTAAGAGGACGTTCAGCTGCGACAAGCGCATCTGACGACTGCAAAAATCAATCAATTAAACTGCCACCAATTAATATACCAATTTTTGAAGGGGATTTCGATGACTGGTACACATACAAAGACCAATTCATTTCAATCATTCATTCGAACGATTCTATTGACAACACACGCAAGATGTATTACCTCAAATCAAGTTTGAAAGGGTCAGCATCTCAAGTCATCGAGTCAATGGCGTCTATTGGTGACAACTACTTGGAAGCATGGACTCTAGTACTAAAAAGGTACGATAACGAACGTCTCATCGTCCAGAGCCATGTCCAACAGTTGTTAACACAAACCATACAACAAACGGAGAATACCGTGGGCCTGAAGTCGTTGCTCGACGGTACAAATAAACATTTAAGAGCGCTATCAGTATTGCACCAGCCAGTCGAAAAGTGGGACGCTATTATTGTTGGTATTGTTGCGACTCGTTTGCCCGCAGAAGTTAGAAAAGCTTGGGAAGTTGAGTCCGCTTCTTACACAGGAATACCTACATGGACACAACTGAAGCAATTCATCGAAAATCGATTACAAGCATTAAACATGTTACAATACAAACCAAATAATGTAAATAGTGTTGGTAAAACGAAACAGTTTGTTAAAAACTACAGCTCATGTGGCGACTGACAATCAGACCAACACGTCAAATCAGTGTCCAGTGTGCCCCCAGAAACATATAATTTACAAATGCAATACATTCATGACAGCAAAACCAAGTGAGCGATTAAATTTAGCTAAAAGGTCTAAAATATGTTTCAACTGCTTGCGCACAAACCACGGTTCAAGTCAATGTACAAATGAAAACACTTGTAAAAATTGTGGATTAAAACATCATACACTTTTACATCTCGACATGAGAAAGGCCAGTACAACAGGGGGTGAAGATACGTCAAATGATCAGGGAAAGGAACAAGATTCAAAAAGTACAACATCTCATATAGGAGCATCACACCCAACCACATCCCAGAGCGTTATATTGTCAACAGCATTAGTACATGTAAGTGGGAAAAATGGCCAAAAGGTGTTATGCCGAGCACTGCTAGATTCTGGATCACAATCGCATTTTATTACATCATCTTTGACAACAGAACTAGGCATTGACAGAATAAATACTCAAGTGATCGTCAACGGTATATCATCAGCAGAGACAACTGTTAGCGAGAAGGCTGAGTTCACGGTGTCTTCACGTGTAAACAAAAAGGAGTATCAAATTACTGCTTTGGTTGCACCACGTATCACCATTGATCTACCTGTTGGTAAGATAGACACATCGAATTGGCATCAATTACAAAGCGAACAATTAGCTGACCCAACGTTCCATCTACCAGGAAAAATTGATATTCTCATAGGCGCTGAACTCTTTTATGATATTGTACTAGATGGTAAACAGTTTGGACCAGAGGGTGCACCTATACTACAAAATTCAAGATTTGGTTGGATTGTTACTGGTCATAACAACATCACAAAAACTGATCCGACACAGACCACAACCAATATAATCACCTGTTGTACCAGTACCACTTATCAGCGACTTGAGAACCAAATTGAAAAGTTCTGGAAAGTTGAAGAGGTGCCAAGAGTGACAACTATGTCAAAAGAAGATCAACTCTGTGAAGACCACTTTGTCCAAACATTTAAACGCAATGAAAGTGGGCGTTACGTTGTACGATTGCCGTTCAAGGAGACTCCACATCCTGTGAACAATTCATATGACATTGCTGTACGGAGACTCTCCCAGGTGGAGAGGTCTCTGCTTCAAAGTCCATCAGTGTACGACCAGTACCGACAATTCATGGCTGATTATCTTCAACAGAACCACATGGAGCGTGTACAACCCACTGAAGAGAGTCCAACTATATTCCTACCACATCATCACGTCTCACGTCCGTCGAGTGCAACTACTAAATTGAGAGTTGTCTTTGATGGATCCGCTATTGTTTGCAATGGGAAGTCACTGAACGACACATTACATCGAGGTCATAAGCTACAGCGTGACATAGTAAGAATTATCACCAGATTCCGTATGCACAGATATGTTTACACTGCCGACATACGTCAGATGTTTCGGCAGATTGAGATACACCCTGATGATCAGTGTTATCAAGGTATCGTGTGGCGAAATCACCCATCAGAACCAGTACAAATGTACAAATTGAAAACTGTCACTTATGGGTTGATAACTTCACCATTTCATGCTCTACGCACACTTGTTCAACTCGCAGTTGATGAACAAGCTAATTATCCTGAAGGATCCAGAATACTCCAAAATGATTTCTACGTCGATGAAGTCATGTCAGGCTGTAACAATGTCAATGATGCTAAGGATCAAATACAAGAGCTGAATGATCTACTCCAATGTGGTGGATTTGACTTAAGAAAATGGGCCAGTAATACACCTACTATCTTGGAAAACATTCCAGCCGAGCATCAACTGTTGCAGATTTCTATGCCTGATCAACATAATGTAATTGTGTTGGGTATTTCGTGGAACACTACAAGGGATACATTTTCATTTAAAGTCGAACCTACACCACGATTGGATCGCATCACTAAACGTGAGTTATTAGGAGAAATTGCACGCACCTATGACCCTTGTGGATGGCTGGCACCATTGATAGTAGTTGCCAAGATCCTCATGCAACGACTTTGGCAGACAGGCACGGAGTGGGATGACTCTGTGTCAAAAGAACTTCTTGAACATTGGGTTGCTCATCGAACATCATACAACCATCTACATCAATTTGAAATTCCACGTCATGTTGGCAACATAATGGACACCCAACAAGGTTGTATTCTACATGGTTTTTCAGACAGCTCAGAACGTGCCTATGCGGCAGCGATCTACATCATCTCAAATAACACAGGACATTTATTGGTATCCAAAACTCGCGTAGCCCCGCTGAAAAAAGTCACAATACCGAGGTTGGAATTGTACGGTGCTACACTCTTAGCACAGTTAATGCATTCACTAATAGAGTCACTTCAACTGCAAGTCAAAGCAGTAACAATGTGGACAGATTCCACCGTCACATTGCAGTGGATTCAAAGTGATGCCCACAAATGGACCACCTTCGTGTCAAACCGAGTAAGCCAAATACAGTCACTAGTTCCAACAGCTGAGTGGAGGCATGTACGTTCCGCAGACAACCCTGCAGACCTGGCCTCCAGAGGCACATCAGGTGATCAGCTCATAAATAACTATTTGTGGTGGCATGGACCTGATTGGCTTTTTGACCCAAACCAATGGCCAGACATAAAATTGAAACCTACAACAGCATCAGATACAAATGAAGAACTTCGACATCAACCTACTGTTTCTGTGTCATTGTTAAGAAACATTGAACCAATAGGGCAAGACTTACTGACCAAATGTTCAAATTATGAACGTCTCAATCGCATCGGTGCATACATCTATCGGTTCTGCCACAATTGCAGAAACCCGAGGCGATTGTCAAAACATATCACTGTCCAAGAATACAATCAAGGTGTATATTTTTGGATCCGCATCGCACAACACTCTGTATTCAAAGATGAAGTGAAACAACTCAAATCATTCAAACCAGTTGCAAGGAACAGTGTATTAGCCAGTCTTGATCCATTCATTGATGATACAGGCTTGCTACGCGTTGGCGGAAGACTTCGGCATGCAGAAATCTCTTATGGTCAAAAGTATCCAATATTGTTACCTAAAAATCATATATATACTTATTTAATTATAAAACAGGTTCATTTGTACTACTTACATGCTAGCCTAGAAGTCACCATGTCAGTAATTAGACAAAAATATTGGGTAATTCACTGTCGTAGTACAATCAAAAAGGTCATACACAGCTGCATACCATGTGTACGTTCCCAAAAAGAACTATGTCAACAAGTGATGGCTGATCTCCCTGCTGCCCGTGTCACTATGGCTCCTGTCTTCGCACGAGTTGGAGTTGATTTTGCCGGGCCAATAACAACCAAACCAGTTGGGATCCGTACACGCACCGTTACAAAATCATACCTGGCACTGTTTGTGTGCATGACTACAAAAGCAATACACTTGGAAGTGGTAAGTGATCTCACCACTGAGGGGTTTATAGCAACTCTAAAACGCTTTGTTAGTCGTCGGGGATGTCCATCTGACATTTATTCTGATAATGGCACGAACTTTGTGGGAGCGAACAACAAATTAAAATCCTTATATCACTGTATCTCCCAGAGTGAATTTCAAAAATCAATAAACACACATTGTGTTTCTGTTAACATTAAGTGGCATTTTAACCCACCAGCATCCCCACATCATGGTGGTTTATGGGAAGCTAACATTAAAAGCACAAAGATAATTCTATACAAAAACATGGGGAACATTGTGTTTACGTTTGAAGAGCTGAATACAATGTGCTGTCAAATCGAGGCCATCTTAAACAGTAGGCCCTTGTGTGCATTGGACGATGGCACTGTTTTGACACCTGGTCATTTCATTATTGGCCGTCCTCTGTTGGCTGTTCCCGAAGACAACATGTTATGTTCCACTGTTAACCACCGAAAACGCTGGAACATTATTCAAAAAATTACTCAGACATACTGGAAGCAATGGTCTAATACTTATCTGAATAATCTGCAACAACGTTCAAAATGGCGCAAACCAAAAGAAAATTTGGCTGTCGGTGATATCGTTATACTACGTGAACCTGGGACATCTTCCACACAATGGCCAATGGCACGCGTCGTCGAGATATTCTCCAGTCCTGCTGACAATCATGTACGAGTTGTTCGCATCCGCACTGCAAAGACGGAACTCATACGTCCTATCACAAAGCTAGTCAAACTCCCTATCGAACACTAAGTTCCTACACTTATATAAATTAATTCATTGTTATATATTCTTTATTATGTATAAATTGTTTTGAGACTATTGCTCAAGGTGGGCGGTGTTTTGTAAATACTATTGTCAAAATTGTTATCTGTTATCACAGTTAATTGTTATCGTAAACATTTTGTATTAATTTATAAACGGTCGTGTATACCGTGGTTATGTTCATTTTTATATTTAAGGTTAGAATTTTTTGTACACATTATACTATTCTTTAATCTATGATTATACGTCTGAAAGAAATAAACTCTCAACTACAAACCGTCGAACTAAAAACATCATGGTTTTTATTTTTGATTAAATACAAAGTTCTCAAATCGAAGTAAAAAGTAACAAACAGGCGTCTTTTAAAGTCTATGGGTTTTAAATTTACAAAACGAGGACGTAATAGTGCATTAATTGAAAATGACGAAATTAGGGCATGGCGCAGAGAATATATCAGGGATATAAGAAAAGATCGAGAGGAAGGCCTACCGATATATTATATTGACGAAACGTGGGTGAACGCCGGGAATGTAGCAATAATGGTATGGCGTGATACTACAGTAGAATCGAGCCAAGCTGCATTTTCTCAGGGTCTTTCTACTGGAGCACCTACCCCACTGGAAAAGGGAAACGGCTAATAGTGTGTCACATCGGCTCCAAAGATGGATTTGTCCCTGATTCATTATTATGCTTTGAGTCGAAGAAAAACACCGACGACAATCACGATGAAATGAATGGCGATAGTTTCCGTGATTGGTTAGAAGGTGTTTAACCGAGGCTCAAAAAAAATGCGGTTATAATAATGGACAACGCGCCATACCACTCGGTAAAGCTTGAAAAATGCCAAACTACAAACTGGAGGAAGGCTGATATCGTCGAATGGCTAGAAAGCAAAGGAGAAGTTGTTGACAAAAGTATGATAATACCGGAACTTTTGAAAATTGTCAAAAGGATAAAACCGATGTACAACAAATACGTCATCGACGAGATGGATTAACAACAAAATAAAACGGTGTTAAGGTTACCGCCTTACCATTGCGAGCTCAACCCTATTGAGTTGGCTTGGTCTGTTGTGAAACATCACGTGAAGTCCAACAACAAAACCTTTAAATTGCCCGATGTGAAAAATCTTTTGGTTGAAGGAGTTGACAAAGTGGACGCTACAATGTGGAAGAACTTCATTAGCCACACTATAAAAGAAGAAAATAAGTTTTGGACTTTAGATGACACAATAGACGATTTGACGGCTGAACAAGATAGCATAATTATGACCATTGGAAATAGTGACACTGAAGATGACGATTTCCATCTTTTATCAGATTGAAAGATAAAATAATATAAATATTTGTAAAATTATAATTCAATTTTATGTAACTTATTATTGTAAATTCTGTTATGTAAATTATTATTGTAAATATTATTGTGAATTCGATGTTATCTAAATTATTATTGTAAAAACGTATTTGTTATATTGTGTATTTGATTTGTATGTATGCAAATGTATTGTACATTATAATTATGCAACCATTAAGTTAATATTAAATAATAGTAATATCAATAAAAATAAATCAATAAATATTACGCGCTGATTCCTATAATGCAAGTATGCAACTGTACACGCACGAACGCCGCACAGGTAAGATATTTACTAATTATTAATTGTAAACAAATTATTTGAATTGGGTGTATACTTGACGGCGACCGTCGTGCGCGATCGACGCCTCGTTTCAACGAAAGTGGGAGAAATTGGCCTCGGGCCAGCTGAAAGCCGTCAGTCGACATGCGCGAAAGCGGTATGTTCTCTTTTGAAATGAAGTGTAAATTAACTTCAAAGAATAATTATTATTCAAATTTATAATTCTGGTACAAAGAGATATATATTTTTAATTTACTATATTATAATATTATTATAGAATACAAGTATAAAAAAGTTAATACAAAGTAAATAGGTACAATAGATTCATGAATATGAAACAAAGAAATATTATTAATAAAGTTTAAACATAATTATTTATTGGTTATTAAATAAAATCAGCTTAGTTAAGACACGTCGTTTGCTATCTTGTTTATCTTTAGATTTAGCAATATAGTGCAGACGTATATTGAGATATTCCTTACAAATTAAAGATACTAAATGTAATTTATGGTTTTCTAGAAAACAATCATCCAAACAAATTACATTTTTAAATACATTATTACTGTAGACATAGTTCTTAGTATGAATAACAATTTTAGATGTTTAAAATTATCTGTGAGTTGAATAAGAGTATTTTCAACAAATTTCAAGATTTTTAAATTTTTAATACATCAGTTGAACTCCGTACTAGTCCTCCCCTATTTTTAATAATAACCAGAGCCGAATAAAAAATTGTATGACTATAATTATGATCTATAGTAGGTTTTCTTTCTAGTAAACTTTCAGTACACGTAGGGCATTCTATTTTCTTAAAAATGGTTCTTACTATAAATCCACTAATATAGTATAAAATATTATCTTTAAGAATATTTATGTTAACACTATCATTTTCAAAAGAAAGGAAGTCTGGCATTTCTTCATCATCGTCTTCAATAGTTTCTTCAGATTTTCTTTTTTTCCAACTTATTTCAAAAATGCTGTCATAACATGAATTATCTAATGCAACACAGTTTGCAGCATAAGATGAAGTTATTTAATTCTTTAAACACAATTGTTTCATGGCTGTTCGAAATTCCAGAACATTAGGGTTATTATTGTGACCAAACCTTTGCCTTGTTTTTGGAAAAAATATTTCCAAGTGGTCTTGAGAAAATTTGTATGTTAAAAGATATTTATAATTAGTAACAATAAAAAGTTCCTTAGATAAGTTTAATATTGATTTGACAGCTACAGCAAAACCTACAAATATAAATATAATTATGAGTATAATGATGTAAATATACAAAATAATAAATGTTCACTGTACACATCATTCAAGGAATCATCAACAAAACTTTCAACTGGAGGAACTGAAATATTACTTTCGATTCCACTTTCTAACCACATCATTATTGCCCAAATATCTTTCAATAATAATTTAGCTGCATATTTGTCAGTTTGAGAAATATACAATTGGAATCTTGGATCCAAATAAATTGCTAAAAAATATAAAAATTGTATACCAGGTATTAAATTAATTGTACAGTAAAAATCTAAAAGTAATAGATAAAATATTTAAATACCTGCTAAAAACTCAGAATTATTTTTCAAAAGCGATCCCCTGGATCCATTGTTATAATTATGTCATTAGTAAGTCCTGAATCCACTAATTTGGTACAAGTATAACACTTTAACCATACACCAAAAAATCTCCTAATGTTTAAGTTTCTTTCTGTAGCTCAATAGTAGCTGTTTTGGCAGGAGATAATGCTTAAAGCTAAAACATTTAAATACATTAATTTACAATGTTGTTATTTTCAATGATAGTATAAATCTTTCAAAAAAGATGTTAATTTTCTAAGGTTTTTATTTTAAGAGAAAATTAAAATGCACCATTTTTTCAATTGATGACCACTCATTTTCAGTAAGCTTTAGTTCCTTAAAGGCATCACATAAATCAAGACATGTGGATTTTAAATCTAAAAGGCGTTTCAACATGTCAAATTTACTACACCCGCGTGTTTCTACATCAATAATAGCTCTTTTTTGTTTAATTTTTTTTAATATTCCAGCTACTGTAGGAGTTCTGAGTTTTTTAACTGCCTAAATCATGAGTTACATAAGAAGAAAAATTATACATAATAGTATATTACTAGGTACACAATATATGAATATATCAAGAAATGTCAAGTTCTCATCAATTTTTACAATTCAAATTTTTAGTGTATCTATTCAAATATAGCAACTAAAATGGGTATTGGATACTTTAAAATATTTTATGAGATATAAACTATTACCTTATTAATATACCTATTTATTGCATAACATGTACTTACCTACACAGTTCACCAATCTCAAAATTTATAGAATGATGACAAACATAGATGAACAATAAAATATAAATTATAAATACATTTAAGGGGGATCCAGCGTATCATGTCTTAAGGAGTAATATTTAGGCAATTCACATAACTTGAACATTTGAGCTATGTCTATGTGTGAGTAGTAAATGAACATAAGTGTGTGTAATCCATTATCGCGTGCCACAAACTATTGGTCTGATGTATAATAAATTATAAATCATAACTCATAAGACTAAAATTCATAAATAACAACAACAACAATAATAATAATAATATAATAATCATATATTATAATGTACAAGTTATTCCAGAAGACACCATCTTATTTTAACTTTTTTTTAAGGTGTACACCTTAATAAAAAGTTAAAATAAGAGGGTTTCTTCTGATCCCCCTTAAATTTCATTCCCTCATATCACAGAAAAAAATTGGATTTGCGCTGAAAAATAATACTAAATAAACATAATAGGGACTAACCGTTTTTTTCCTTTCGATATACCATTCTTTACATTGGTGTTGCCTTCTTGTTCTCATTTCCAAAATTTTTATTTGACTCTTAGATAATGATAATTTATCCAAGTATTCGCTTTTATACTCTTCAATCTGACTTTCAGTTAAATCTGAGAACAGGTCATGTAATACATTTCCGTAATCTTAATTTGGTCTGGTATAAATCAGTGGTATGACAACAGTTTTTATACGCTCTGATGTTTTAAAAAGGCAACGACGTCGGTTATGATTTTCAATCCTCCTCATATTTTTGTTATGTAATGTTTAGTATACATCCCAGGGCTTTTATCAGTTATTTGTTTATTAAACGAAGATAGACGATTTGCCCCTTCGTAGTAAGCTGTAACTGCCGCATTACATCGCAGTTCATAAGAACCTAAATATTTAAAAGTGTTTAAAATTAAAAGGTGAATAATCAATAAAGTGAATACTATTATAAATATTATACATACATAATACATATATATATTTAAGATGTATACTAGTGTACTTTTGATTTTTGAACAGTGTCAAAACAAACATGGTCCTTGAGAATTATGATTTTTTTTTTTGAAATTTAGGAGGGACATCAATACCAAATTTAAAATCAATAACTAAACTATTATAAGTATTTGCAATAACCAAAAATGTTTATTTAAACCAAAAAATTGTAATAATATTAAATAGGTGGTCAACGAGTGGGTGGATCTATATATATTAAATGTTATGTTGTTTATAGGCCCGTTTTGCCACTACTATTAAATACAATTTGTATGTATGGTATTAGATCCTAATGTTTTTAAATTTTGACAAGATGAAAAAATAAAAATTGTTTTAAATAAGATGAGAATTAAAATAATACCTTTGTGAGAAAAGTTGACCCGTCTTCCGCCGATAAATTTGGCCAAGATTGAGTTGTACAGTTCTGCGGCATTATTATTAAAATTATTATACATTAGACTTTCCGTGTGGTTTTAGTTCATTGACAAGATTATCTTAACTTATATAATTGTTTACAATATATACTATATATACCTATATTTACTTAACATATTTATAAATTATAAAATATATTATACTGTCTACTTATATTCAATGATCTTACCTTTTTTTGTGCCCCCCTGACTGAAGTACTTTCTACATTTTGTATGATCTCCGAACACATGGGCCCATTTACCAAATCTGATTTTAGATCCACTAATTGGGTTTCATACGGTATATTTTTCTGAAGTAGTCGATTATATTTTACAGCCTCTGTGACGTTATAGTAACAGACGACTTTGAATACTGTTTCTGGTATTCGCTCACCTTTGGAATTTTTTCGTTTGCTTGTCAAATCTCTTAATCTCTTAATGTATTTTCGCAATAAATGGTTGATGCAATCAACTTTTTTTATTATAAAATTAGGTCCATAAGGTTTAGCAATGCGTAAACGTTTCATAACGCTGCTATCACCATCACCTAAATAATAAAATATAAAACGTCTTAGAAGCGAGGCAAAATTAATATTATGTTCTAATATTGTGTTGTACTAAAAATATTTTTATTATACCAATTAGCTGTGAATAAATAAGATTGTGCATCTCTAAACTATGTTTAAACCCATCGACAATTATGTCTCTTCCCATAGCTGTGGAAGGTCCATTTCAATTCAAAAAACAATGATGAGGCCCTGGTTCTTTATCATACTTTTTGCCTAAAAACACACACAACAGAATTTATTTCTCACGCCGAAAAAAATGACTTTTTTAGTAACTGCTCCAATAATACAAGCCTATTTGAAATCCAAAATTATTAATTAATTTTATTATTCATTCACATTTTATAAATTATACTTACAAGACCAGATAATGCATTAT